ATTGCATTTAATAAAAGAAGTTATCTAAGTACCTATCATATGATTACATATAGTAAAAAGCAAATCAGTTTTCTGGGATTGAGGATATCAGAACAATATTCAAAAACTGAATATGTGCCATTATCATGATTGCAGTGATGTTTCTACGGGCATATGCTTTTCTTCAAATATTTAAAATTTAAGTCTTTATTGCATGTCCTTTGTACACCAATAAATTTTCAGAAGGTGGGGGAATAAAGTTTGGCTAAACAGATTGTTGAGATCCATGCATGGACTATGCATGAACCTTTTCGGCATTGGAGCCACTGAAGAGGTAGATCTGTTTTGGGGGGAACTTAGAGTGGCAATCACACCATTAATATTGCCATTACATGTGAATTCCCACTCAACTCTGCTCAAAAAAGTCCTGCACAGCTCCAGAGATGGGGTGACTTGCTGTATTCACACAGCCTCTCAGAGATGGTGGTAGCCTGCCAAGATATCAATCAACCTGTTGACTGCAAGACATCCAGTAGCAAGACTCCACTCCTGAAACCTTATCTCTGCCTTTGATATACTTCCTTACATAAAACCACCAGAGCTTTGTTTCAATTGTTCAGCTTCAGTTCCTGTGTGGGTGAGAAATATTAGGTGCTCCGTTAAACTATAATTCTGACTCTGTCTTTTATTTCTTTACTAATTATTTGAGAATCTATTTTCTCAGGTTACTTATCCCCTCCTGAAGAGGAAAAAATTACCTTGGAGAGGTGCTGGCTGCCTCACTATAGCAGATGTGTTGTGTCATAGACCAAGTGATCTATGAAAAAATACGATGACTAAATAGATCAACATCTAGATCTGAACCTAAGTCACCAGTTTAATTTTTAGGGAAAAAAAAAACTCAACTATTCTCAAGAGGATGCTAGAAATTGAGCCTACCTGCCTAATCTTCTAGGTCTTGTTGATATGTTAGTTTGGGGTTCCAGAAAGAATGTAAGATGAGTTGATAAATTGTTTGAAGATCTTTGTCTTCTACTGGAATTCACTAACTAATAGCAATTATGATTTGTATTATAAATCATGTCAAGTTATGACAATAAGATGCAAGATACTCAGTCGTATATGAATTTTAGGCAAGAAACAAGTTTTTTATCATTAAGTCCCAAATATCACATGGATCATGCATATATACTAAGCCTACAGATACACTCAAATTCAAATTTAATTCAAAATCCTATTGTTTCTCCACCTACATCTGGTAACCCTGCTTTCTAGACACTGGCGAGGTCAAAGCATCATTACACAATTTCCTGGCACTGTGAAACACATCTTCACAGCAATTACCAAAATGTCAGTTTCACAAAAAGGAACAGAACAGATAAATAGGAATTGCATAAAACACTTGGAGAAAGGCTATTCCAGCTGAATTAACCATGTTAGCATATGCATTAAAAGAAGACATTGCATTACTTTTTCAAAAGTATAATGCACAATTATCTGTTGCTAGTGTATAAAGTACGTTTAGAAAAAGTAACTAAGGCAAAAATAGAAATTCTAAGAAATGCTATGACTCCCCATTATATTCACATCAAGAAATTGCTGGTTAACCCTGATGTAGAGAAGAATTATAGAAACAGAACATTCGATAACACAGAAAAAATGTTGTGCTTGTCTTCCACACAGGTCAAATCAGCAGTGACTTGTGAGACAATTGTTGTGACTGGCATGCTGTTTCCTCATTTTCACAGAACGGGGCTGATGATGGGATTAGAAAAAGACCAATAAAAACAAAAATAGAGAAAAGCAAACCTGGTAGTTCAACCTGCTTCTGATGAAAGAGGTCTGACCAAGAGCAGCCTCTGATGTTTGTTACATAGGTTTTGGCACCAAGAGGATTCACTGTGAGAACGTTTCTTTAAACAGAACTGTGATCAAAATTTTGAACAGGCAATTAGAGTCATCAGTTCATGCCCACAATTCTCAATCCCTGGGCAGCTGCTCTAGAACTGATAAACTCCATGGCAACCATGGAATTTCCTTTTGAATAGGGCATCACTCTACAACCTGGCAGTTTTCTTGGTGCAGAGAGATTCCCAAGGGAGTGTCAGACTCTGTCTCTGGGCAGTTCAAAGACCCATCATTCATTCACCACTCTGGAGAGGGAATACTGAGAATTCGCTGATTGGAAGAATATTTCAAAGGTAATCACTACATTCTAGGTATGGATTTACTAGAGATTATTAAACTCTTGCATCATAAGAGTCTAAATGGAATGAGGCACAGTTGGTAATTATCTGGTAGTAAAATAAAACTTGATACATCAGTTAATGTATGAAAGGCAGAAGGAATGAACCAAGGGCATTTCTAGGACTCATTTATTTATTTTTACTTTGGGGAAAATTGAATAGTGGATATTACTAAGATCAATTAAGGAGGAAGGTGACTGAAAAGTAAGTTCTTAAGGCAATGTGTTTTCTATTTTTGCCAGGTTAACTTTGAGTTACCTGTCCTTCAAAGCATATGGTTGAAAATGTAGATTGACACACTAGAAGTTGAATTTAAGGGATCTGAATTCAGAGAATGAGATTCTAAGCTGCATATACAGAGGTGTCAATGCTGTACTGAACAAAAATCATTTGGAAAATATTCCACATTTAAGACTTGTTCAGAGAAGTAGGAGCCAGGCCAAGGAGTGTAATATTCATTTTCTTCTTTTTTTAACGTCATTTTTTTGACATATTTTTGAGTTGTAGATGGACATAATACCCCCATTTTATTCTTGTGTGGTGTTGACAGCTGAACTCAGTGCCTCATGTGTGTTAGGCAAGAGCTTTAACACTGAGCCACAACCCCAGCCCAAGAGTATATAATCTTATGGAAGTACAAGGAATTCATAAAGAAGAAAGTAATCATCAATATTGACATATCAGCAATATTCAACAAGATAATAAAGATAAGTTTTACAAAATTTCTTCAGTGTTATTTGAAAAGTTGTATGCTTTAGAATTAAAAAAAAAAAACAAAACACTAAGACAGCACTACTGGAAAAATGTTAACCTGGTAGTTAACAATCATGTAACTTGGCAGGAAACAATCTAGAAACAGTTAAGACAATTATAATAACAACTACTTCACATTACTATAGGTAAAAGTGTGTCTGCCTTCAGGTTTCCCAGAAAAAGCTAACTAATATTTATTAAAGAGATGTTATATACAAGGTGCCATATTATAGTAAATGTACGTAAATGTACAAGAATATAGTTGAAATATTGCAAATACTTATAAAATGAATAAGAAAAATAAATATAGCATATTTTACCTATACATCATTTTATTTTAAAGATTTTTTAAAATTATCAAGTCTCAGTCTTGAGTTTAAATTATTATAATTCCTCATCTGAGATGTTTCTTTTCTCACCAAAAAAATAATGTTATGTGCTTTTTTAAAATTTATTGGGCTTTTTTAACTGAATAAAAATATTACTGCTATAATTAGTTTTAAGTGTTGATTAGAGGCTTAGATGTCTTATGAACATTGTAATTATGTAATCAAACTGCCAGAGAAAATCATTTTAAAATTTCATACTTCATTTGTATTTGTATTCAATTTAATACAAAGTGTCAGACTTATAGTATTTTATGTAGCAATTAAATTATTTTGCTCTTAAATGCTGATATTAAAATGTAATGTTGATCCATTTCTGATCATATCCTTTCCTACTGGAGGGACATATCTTAGAAAGACCAGCATCTTTATTGATTTCCTGTTTCTCCAGTTTCATAATCATATCATATTTATATCCACTGTACTTTGGTAAACAGTGTAATCAATGAAGTGTCTAAATACAGTGTTTTTTATTGTTAACATTTACCTGGAGTATTATAAATTACTTGAAAATGAAAATTATTCATAAATTAATTTAATCTTGGAAACCTCTGTACAGGAAATTATGCTACCTTTATGTCCTTCCTAATGAACTTAAGTTTTGAAATTGCAATGTGTAACAATATTTATTAGAAAACCTTCAAAAAGTCCCTTAAGAACATATCATAAAATTGTTCTGCATATGTTATATAGTAGTAAGATGATATTCAATTAAGGGTGTGAAGAATTCCATTCACATGGTAAAATAAATATGGGAGGAGTTTATTTCCAAACTGGAAGAAAATTTCCTGAGAGAAATTATCAGACACAGTTCAAAAACCAATAGAATTCAGATTGGAACCAACATTCTGAAGCACAACAATTATGGCATTTCAATGCTTGCTATATCTAAGCCATGCACTTGTATCTGCACATACACACAAACATATAAAACTATATTTTTTTTCTGTTCTGTTCTGCTCTCCTTTGTAGTGATGGTTTCTCAGTAATTTCTATAAAAAGCAGAAATACAACCAGAAAGGCCATTTGGATTTCAGTTTGTATTTTCAATATTTTATGCAGAAAGCTTAGAAACTGCTGGATTCAATTTTTTTTATTATTTAATGGATTCATTTCTTGTGACTTTGATGAGTTTGAATTAAATCTCTTTCCCCCCACAAAAAAAAATTGCACTTGCTTTGATAGCACAAAATTGAAAGGGCTTAGACTTCAGCCCCTTCTTATTCATGTATTCTGAGAGTGGGATCAGATTCATCCATAGTACCTGGAATGAAATTAGGATGTTAATGCAAGGAAAATCAGGTACTTTATATCAGAGGAAGAATGAAAGGATGCAGATCACTTGAAACAATTGACATTTTTGAAATAAATAATATTCAAGAACGTTCACAGAAGCTGTGACTAAACGATGTTGATTCAAGATACAACACTTGTAAGAAGACAAATTTGTGATATACTTAGATATTTACAACTGGAAATATCTTTGCATCTGTCTGAATAAAAGAAATACCTAATTCACATTCTGTCCCACTGGTTCTCAAAATGTCATTCTCAGATTAGTATGTGCATTATCTGATGGCTTCTTTTTATATTGTTAAAGGAATATTTCACATCTACTGAATTAAATTTCTTTTAGTATTTAAGAACATCTGTTTTTTGAAAGACTCTAAAAATAGAAAGGAAAACCATTCCAGATACTTAAAAACATATATGCAAAGCTTGTATGTGGTAAAGAATTTGTACACAAAATAGAAGCACTTGTATAAGTCAATAAAATAGGATGCATGACCATCAAATAGAGCAAAGGATTTGAAGAGAATTTCTAGGAGAGAAGATAAATAGCAAATATGAATATTTAAAGATGCTGGGATTGAAAATCATTAGGTGTAAATTAGTCCAGAGTGAACTTCTACTGCCCACTTATTAGAAGATTTTCTTTTTCTTTTTTTCCAGAAAAATAAGGCTGTGCACTTTCTATAAGTAAGTGCCTGTAAGATGGAGCACTTGTGAGATGAAGGCACATGGAACATTTGAGCCCAAGAGTTCAAGGTCAGACTGGGCAATCTAGTAAGAGTCCTTCTCAATTAATTAATTCAGTCATATTTAAAAAGAAGGAAGTTTTTACATATGCTAAAACATGTAAAAACCTGAGGACATTAGGGGTAGTGAAATAAGTCAGTCTCACAAAGACAGATACTAGATCCTTCTACTTACAAGAAGTATGTAGGAGAGTTCAGATCATAGAGATATGAAGTAAAATGGTGGTTGCCAGGGATTGGGGCAGTTATTGTTTAATTAGTACAAAATTTCAGTTTTACAAAGGAAAAGCATTACAGAGATAGTTTGGTAGTAATGGTTGCACATTTATAAATATATATATATATCACTACTGATTGGTAAAATAGTAAAATGGTAAATCTTAGGTGCATTTTAACATACTAAAAAAATGGGAAAAAAATAAAAGAAAAAGTAAAATTAAATTACGGTAATCTTAGCCTTTTTAATTTTGGGACAGGGTCTTGCTGAGTTGTTCAGGCTGGTCTCACACTCGTCATATCTCTGCCTGGGCCTCCCGAATAACTGGGCCTGCAGCAGAAGATTTCCTTTGATTTGGTTGCACATAGACTCTATAAAAGGCTTTTCCTCAGGTCCCATTTTTGGAACCCTAAACCACCTGTAATTTGGAACATTTAATTCATGATTCACTGTCTTCTACAATAAACTATTTTAAATTTAATAAAAAGCTCCAAAAATGAAAAGAAAAACTTGCTTTCCCAAGTATTGTTGAGGATCTATTGGAACGGGAGCTCCCATAACCTGCTGATGAGAGTGTAGAACGGTAAAATCACTTTGGAAATTATTTGGCTGCTTTTAAAATACATAAATAGATAAAAATGTGGCACAACTGGCACCAAGCTAGGCTGATGAGGAGACTGGAAAACAAACAAACACAAAAATAGAGAAAATAGAAAAAGTGGGACCTGATGGTTCAATCAGCCTCTGATGGAGGAGGTCTGACCATTAGCAGCCTCTGCATGTTTATTATATAGGTTTTTACATCAAGGTGATTAATTGTGAGAAAGTTACTTTAAAATAGAACCGAGGTCAAAAGTTTGAACAGCCCAATTACAGTTGACAGCTTCTGCCCACAATTCTCCACCCCTGGGCACCTGGAACCTGAACCTTAGGTCAGGGACTGACAAACTCAATGGCAACAACAGAATTTCCCTTCAGAGAGGGCATCATCATACAAATAAATGGTGGTTTTCCTGCACGGAGAGATTCTCAAGGCAGATGTCAACCTCTGTCTCTGAGCAGTTCAAAGACCCATAATTCAATCACTGCTCCCAACAAAAATGCACCTATCACATAATCTACCTGCTGCACTGACAAGAATGAGAAACTATGATTATATGATGATTGGAAAAGGATGTTTACATCTGCTATATTTCCACAGCCAGAAATTAGAGAAACCCAAATGTTCATTACATGAAGACACAAATGTGGTATATCCGTACAATGGAACACTATTCAGTAATACAAATAAATTATTGATATATGCTATTACATGAATGAATCTCAAAATAATAAGTAGGCTGAGATAAGGAAGTATAAAAATGTCTCTACTTTTTTTCATTTGTATAAAGTGTAAATGAATTTTACAGTGAACAAGAATCAGACTAGTGGTTTTAAAGACGAAAGAAAGAGGAACTACAAGGGAACACCGATATACTTTTTTAATTGACAAATAAGCAATATTTTCACTATCTTCATGGTTGCACTGGATATATACATATCAAAATTTAGACTCTAAAA